AACAAATTCTATTTACAAAAAAAATACACAAATCACAAATAAAATGACAGGAAGCAGAAAGAAGGAAAAATATATATCTGCCCCCTTTTTCTTAAAAAAAGAAAAACTCAAACAATGATAAACTTCTAGTAAAAAAAACGTAAGAACACAAACTTGTCATCTTACTGACAGTTAACTTGTTTATTTGTACTTTTGCTCAAATTCACTTAAACCCTGTCCTCTCTTAAATCCTGAATGTGGGCACAAACCACCTCTTCCTGTCTCCTGACGTGTCACAAGACGCGACAAACAAAAACTTCTTTTTGAACCAGATTATCGAGTCAAACTGGTTAGCCCCAAAGATGGTTGCAAAATACAAATTGATGTAATCCTTTTTCGTAGCAACAAGTATCTTTTTGTTGGGTTTAAACAAGCGTTTACTTACACTGAACACAATTACAGAGCTCGTCCTTTTTAATGCATCGTTTTGCAAATGAACCGTTTCCTTTTGTTTTTTTCTCCTCTAAAGAAAATCTGTTTGCGAGCTGATGTAGATCTGCTGAGCAGCCACCTGTACGACTCGCCGCACGACAGCATCAACTCTTCACGGCGTAACCCGTCTGAGACGTCCCCGCTGCTGGCAGGAGCAACGTGACCACTTCAAGTCTGCTTTTAAAGCCTTTTTTAAAAAAAAAAACAACAACAAACTTTTCTAAACATTTAAAGCGTTTTGGATGAAGAGTCTGGTGGCTTTTAAAGCTCAGGGCACATGAACGCATCTTCCATCCAGTTGTACTGTATGAAGTCAGATATTTAGAGGGGGATTTAACTTTGAGCTGCTCACATCAAGTCACATTTAAACAGATCAAACTGAATATTTGGGTTGGCTGACCATAAGAATGCAACGTTGATGCTTTTGCACTTCATACCCTGACAACATATCTGCACTTTGCTTTTATTTTCTTATTGGGGACCTTTTCTTAAAAAATGGATACAGCTAAACTTTTAAAAAGTATCCTGGCTGGGTTTAAAAGTTTCTTAACGTAACTGTTTTTTTGTTGTTGTTTTTTTAAATCCTAAGTGGTTAAACCTGTTTTAACTGTAAATATAAAGAACTTGTCTGACATTAATGATCTGTAAGAACCTAAAAAATGTTTGTTTTGGCACTTACTGAATGCTTTTTATCCTCAGCAGTCTTACAGGCCCTGTCACTTTGTTTTAACAACTTATGAACATTTTAAAGACATCTATGTTGAAGATGGAATTTAAAAAAATTCATACTGTAATGCTAACAACTTGATCGGATATATAACTTTTATTAGTAATTTAGACATAAAGTTTCACAAGTTGTCTAAAATGTTATAGTGTGACAAGGCCTTGAAACCCAGTTTATTAGCTCTGATTATGTATTTTTTAAAACATTATTCCTAAAGAGTTGCTGTCAGTTAACTGAAAAAATATGAAAATATTTTTGTAAGATTAAAAGTTTGTTCTTTGCACTAAAATGTTAAATGATGTCTGGTGGACATCAGACTAATAAAATAAGGTGAGTTGTTTGTAAAATAACGCTTCTTCTTTGTCTGCTTTTTATTTCAAGCTGCACTTTTCACCCCCAAATACACAGAAATTTAATTTTTAAAGTAATGAGCTTAGAGCTTAGTTACATTTTTTGTAAAATGTTTATTTTTGTGTCAAATGGGGTAAATTTTAAGCAAAAAAAACTTTCATTAAATGAATTTTATCAGGAGAATTTGTACGGAGGATCGAAACTGACATAATTAGAAAATAGAAATAAAAGCAGAAACATATGAATGAACCAATAAATAAAAGAATAAATAAACTTAAAATGCAAAGTTTAGTTTAAAACAAAGGCAATGTGGAAAACACTTACCTGTGTCTTTGTTTTTAAACTTTAAGCTAAACTGACGAAGCACAAGCATGCACAGTAGATCTGCACATGGATCCTGCTCTTTCCTGTCGACCAATAGGAGAGGAGCTGACCCAAGAAGCTCCACCCACCTTATTTGCATAACGAGGTGGAAATGTAAAAACAGGAGACAAATGTAAACGCAACACATGGAAACAAAAAGACTTGTAGGAAAAATAAAAAAAATTCATATAAGCAATTAAGAGACACAACAACAAGTAAAAAATATATATTTTTAAACGCAGTAAAATGTCATTTTGTGGTCTAAATATGTAATTTATTGAAACTAAGCTGGAAAATAAAATGTGAAGGTCAATTAAATTATAAAACACGAGTTAAAGTTCTCCTTTTTTAATGTAATTGGTGAAATTTAATTTATAAAACATTTCTTGGGTAGAATAAATAACAGACTCCATGTGATAAAAACAAAGAAGCTAAATATATTTTATTTTTTTCTCATAAAATTAATTATACAAATCAGATTTTGTTTTATGTCAGGAATTAAAATGCAGACATTTCTATTTAACATGTTAACTTTGGCAAACTGATTAAACATCATTCCGACTTTTAATTCTCAATAATGCACAAAATATATTCTCCATTATTACTTTCTCCTGAAACTTTAGCTGTAACAATTAAAAATATATTACACCCTATTTTCTGGAACCAATAATTTGACATATATACAATCAAAACAATAAATAAGACTGAAACAGGAGAAGCAGCTTTGTATAAATGTAAAGTTGAAACCTTTCCTGTGTGCTGAGTTTGAGTTGTTAAAGGGTCAGATCTGACATTTCTGCTCAGATTATTACTGAGCTCCAAATAATCCACGAAACAAACCGAGGAAGTTCAGTTTAACAATTTTAAAACCCCACAATCTTTAACTTTGTTCTAATTTTTAAACTTGTTRTGTATCATTTCAAACTTGTTTCAGAGACGGAACAAATTCACAAAGCTTTTTATTTTCCCCCAAGTAAAGCAAAACATTTAAGTCATAATTTTACCACATAATCTCCAAATTAAAATCAGTTTATATTTTTTTAATCTGTGGCAGCCTAAGCTAAATAAGAAATCCCTCAACAAAAAAACAAGTCATTTTCCCCCTAAAATGGCTACAATTTTTTTTACTTTTCTAGATTTTTTTTATCTCTAGTAAATTATTTTATAGAGAATGACTGAAATGACAGAATATGTCAGTGAAATATGCAGCAAAGTTTGACTTTGCTGTGAAAGTGCTGTGCAAACTGCAATAGAAACTTGTTTTATCCTGAACTGACCCTTTATCATTAAAATCAAACAGACAAAAAAACAAAAACAAAAAGAAGAAGGCGAAGCTGTCGGTGTGTCTCAAATGTTCAGCAGCTGATGGATGTTCATGAACATAAAAGAACATAAAGGGACTGAAATGAGGAGTCCATCTGAACATGCTTCACATCTCTGACATTTCAGCACATTAGATAACAAAGGGTTGCCTGAGAGGAAAAGCTAATTTGGCATCAAGATTAGCTGAAAAAGAAATTTGAGGCCAAATAAATGCAGCTGGCCTGATAAAASTGGGTTGGTACTCTATTTSAGAGGTTCTCAAATTGTGGTCCCAGGACCCCCAGGGGTCTGCGAACCATGTCTTGGGAGTCCTCAAAAACTTAAAAAATAATTTAAAAAAGTTTTTATGCATATGGGGAACAATGCATTGCTAAAAACAAACACACACAAACTAAACCAAATGAAAAATCATATTCCCGTGGTATTTAGGGGTTAAAATTATTTTTGAAATCAGCATGGGGTTTATGAGGGGGTCCCTGGAAAATGTTCACACTTGTAAGGGGTCCCTAGATCAAAACAGTTTTGAGAACCGCTGCTGTAGTTGAAAAATTTATCAGACTTTGGCACACAAAAAAACATCCTATTAGTGTTTAATTTACCAACCGAGGGCGTGGCCTAATTTAGTTCTAGATGGAGGCAGTGATTCTGAGGTCTATGATCACTATAAACTCTTACAACTCTCATTTTTAGGCTTTTTTTCTTAATTGCTAAGAGATCGGCTTAAAGCTGTGGCACTTCATGACTTATTAATCCTCTGAAAACCCTTGAAGCCCCCCTGCAGGGGGTCCCTTTTTCCAAAACGACCTTTTAAATCAAGTGGTTTTCAGTTCTCAGAGACAGTTTGGGGTGTGGGACAGACCCAGAACTGAAGGGTGCTTTACAAAAAAGACCAGCGGTGTTAAAAGGCAACAACAGGCAGAGACACAGAAAGGCCAACAAGCTCCAAAACCAAACATTCAACGCCGAATTGTTCATCACATCCCGGTCCTGAGCTCTGCCCCGCCTGAGGGCTAAAAGGCCGATCCGTCGCAAATAATGTTCTGACCCCGCCCGGGGAACAGCTCCATCTGCCAGTACCGAGGGTCCGCATACACTGCACAGATCAGGGGAGACCACCAGCATCAGTGAATGTTCTAATCAGAGAGTGAACTCAGTCATCACTAATTACAACAAACAGAAAAAGCAGAGACTAAATATAAAACATGGGAAAAGAGTTSCAATGAATTTGCACTAAAGACAAATTAAACCTCAATAATAATAATTTTACAAAACGTGTTTGCAGCAGGACTTACCCATGTCTCCAGGGGACAGCCACAGGTTGAAGGAGCTGCAGTGCTTCTGGCACCGCTGAACCGGCAGAACGCGAACAGTCGGCAGCCCCTCTCCCACCACCAGCCATCCCAACACCCTTACACCCTGGAACACACAGAACAAGTCAAAACAAAGCCTGAGCTTCAGCTTGTACAGTGTGTATAGTGACAGTAATAGTTTAAGTCCTTTCAGACTTGGAGTTCAGACATTTGGAGCTGGGCTCACCTTGCTCTGGGAGTTTGTGCTGTGGGTGACCAGGCAGCGCTGCAGGATGGTCCCAGCACTGTCCAGCAGGGGGCAGAGCTCAGCCTTTGGGAAGAGCCACCTCAACACCTTCTCCCTGGTCCCAGAGCTGAACCTCCTGCAGGAAGAACAAAAGCTGAACAAATCAGAACATCTCCAGTGTTTGTGTGAAAACCACTTGGGTCTAATTATAAAATAGCTGGATAGCAAGGCATTATTAGCATCTGAGAGGCTAGTGACTAGCATGGATAAGTTGGCGTTAGCATTGGAGAGGACTAGCATGGTTAAGCTGGCATTAGCATCAGAGAGGCTAGCGACTAGCATATATAAGCTGGCATTAGCATCGGAGAGGCTAGCGACTAGCATGGATAAGCTGGCGTTAGCATCTGAGAGGCTAGCGAATAGCATAGATAAGCTGGTGTTAGCCTCTAATTTTTAAGCTGCTAATTTTTTTTATTAAGTTAAGCTAATCTTCCCAGACACACATTATATTTTAAACTTAGCCACATGAGAAAACAGACTCTTTGTCAGAATCAGGAGAACCACATGGTTGTTATGGGCACAGATTCATACCAGAACAAAGTGAAGTTGGCAGGTCCCTGAGGGAGGCCGAGGTTCTGGTCATGCAGGCCGTCCTCCTCCTCTAGCAAAATGGACATGGAGTCAGGATGGGCCAAGTAGAGCTCCTCGAGCTGCTGCCGCTGGACGTTGAGGGACTCCCCACCCTGGAGGGAGGTGGTTTTAAACAGTTCAACTGTAAAAACACTAAAACCTTGTAAGAAAACTACAAATAAATGTACTAATAACAAACCTATTTTATTCACTGACTTCATTATCCTCTCACTCAAACCTCGATTTCATATGAAAACTAAAAGACATAAAGTGCAACTTCAGATGACTCAGCCTTATTGTGTCCAGTTCTRACCTTGAGCAGGACAAGCTGTGGCCCCCGTCGCAGAGTCACAGTCCCTCTGAGGCTCTCCGGGACTTCCAGCACCGAGGAGATCTCTGCACATCCTGAACAGTTCACCAAACTCTGCCTGAGAGAGCCGGCGCTCCACCACTCATGGAAACCTGAACAAACAGTAGCGGGCGTGTTTACGTTGTTTTCAATGTGCTTAACGTTTCCATCATCAGCACCGTTAAACACGGCTCATGTTTGACGACGCATCCCACCTTGCAGGTTGTACTTCTTGGCGATGGGCAGGGAGAGCAGGCGGACGTGGCTGAGCGGGGACGACCAGTTATAACAGCCCAGATTGACCAGTCCCAGCTGAGGGTCGTTCTGCGGGTAGGTGAAGGCCAGCACCACCAGCAGCAGGATCCCCACGGCCACAACAAACTGCACACAACCAGAGATGTAGTTGTAATAACCAAATCCCTATAAAAACTGTTTGAATAAAATAAATAATGATTGCAGGTTTCTCACCTTGATGGTGGCCCTCAGGATGGGGAACTGCGGCGGCTCTCTTCTGGGCTCGTTGGTCTCCAGGACCTGCTTGATGAACCTCTCGATCTCCCGCTCCGACATGCCGTAGCGGTAGCCCGACTGGCGGAGGATGTCGATGCTCTCGGACAGTTTGTCGTAGATGCACGGCTCGCTCGTCGTCATCCCCATGTCGACTGCGGTGTTGTCAACGGCTCATCGGTCAAATATGTCGGTCGTCAGCAGGTGCAGGCTTCAGGATCATGGTGTCAGCCCACCTGTGAATCCATCCAAGAGTTTAATAAATGTGCTATTAGAGTTACACTAATATAGGTGGTGAATTAACAAGTTTTAATAAACATTTGCTTCGTTTTTGCTTAATTTTATAATCATCTTGGTTTGAGAATTAGGGATGATTTTATTTTTTACTGACAGGCGAATGTTGAGTGATGTTTTTGGCTGTCTGTGTGCTACTTTACTAATGCTAATATGAACCACTAGACTAACATTAAGTATGATTTTGGACAAACTTCATTAGATGAACCTACAAAGGCTTTTAAGCAAACCAATTTAAGATGGTAACAACAGAGAAATTACTTTACAAAACAAAGCATGGCCTTCCAACTTTAACTTCAAATCTTGCTGTCCTTCAGATGTGGTATTCCAACAGTCTGGGGTTTAAAAGTGGTTATTTTTTTACTTAATTTAAAGTATGATTAAGCAACTTCGTCCCACACAAACAGGCTCTTGTCACTCAGCTGGTTSACCGTGTTTTCTCTCTAGGTTTTAATAAATAAGAGTCGTATCTATCATGACAACCACACCTTTGAAAGCTATTTTTTAAGTATAGATGGCCTTTGTTCAGAGGGCCTGTGAGCAGAGACAGAACAGAGGCAGATAGGAAGTGTCAACATTTAAAGATCTCCCTCGTAACAACAGGAACCTGTCGCATAATCACAAACCCACAACAAACACATAGAGACAATTTATGCAAGGCTTCATTCATTGTATAAGTTTTAGTTTTGTTGTAAATAGCGTAAAATCTTAACGCAACTGTTTTACACCGAAATAACCATCTGGCGGGTTAGCTTATTTAATRATTAGCCATGTCAGGTTCTGACACAACTAGGCACGAATTTGTAAATCCAGATTTCAAATCCTCACCTCGCGGTGAGACCCACCGTTGAAGTGCAAAAACTCTCATTTCCCACGCTTTYCCCTGAAATAAGTATTTATGGGAAGAAAAATAAAATAAACTACAAGTCGAAAATCATAACACGACACATAAATTTGAGTATCATTCTTCTTCTTGGGACTTGTTCGCTGTTTGCATATTTTCAGATGGTGTGGTGAAACAGCGYCACCTGCCGGTAAAGATTAAAACAGCGCACCGCCCCTGAAGGTCTGACTAAATTCCATAAATTATAATGTTCATATTTTAGATGTATAGTAGTAAACGTCAAATAAAAGTTAAAGTAAAAAAAATCGTTGATATTTGCCAGTAGCCAACTAAAAAATATTCACTCCCGCCTTCAAGAGAACCAAAACAGTTCAGCTCGGCCAATGAGAACTCAGCTTGAAGTCCCGCCCTTTTATTTCCGGTTAATACGCAACCAAAAACATTAAAAATACAACGTTGTTACACACTTGTAAAAGTAAACAGACTTGTCTAATATATTAAAATGATGCAAGATTATTTATGCAACTATCGCCTCTATCGTTTGGTGAGTTTTCTTTTACTCAACTTAGAATGTTTAGGTTAAAAWAAAGTATGTAATAAAGTGTGATTACACAAATTGTTTTTGCTGTTTAGCTTTAAAATGATTAAATTTAACCAGTGTGGTGTAACATTTAGCTTTAAACTGGTAATTTAACTTATTAACATCTAAAGTGTGGTCGCACTCATGACTGGTTTTGTATGAGAGCTCGTTGAGATGTTTTATTTTGACAGTCAAAACCGGAAGCCAACTTTGTTGTCTAATCAACGCATGGATTCAACCTGGATGGACTGATCGAACTGTTCAAGATCAGAACTTTACACGTATTTAACTGATTTTTTTTATTTATTTATGTCACTCGAAGACTAGCTGTTTGAAGAAGTACAAATTAGTTCGCCTTTGTTTGTTTGTTTTGATTGTAGGCAGCGTGTTGGTGTTAACCGAGGTCAACGGGTCTAGTCATCCTGCCGATCAGATGCTTTCCCCGGGAAGGACCGTCTCCTCCCGGCTGCTGAGGCCGGCCTCGTGGCTTGCTTTCCGTCGGGTCTCTGAGCGGGCAGCCACCAGCGCCGTGCAGAAAGGTAACAACAAACAGGATTTCACTGGACGCTTCGGTTCCCTTGGAGAAGCTAGCATGTAGCTAATCCCAAAGTGACGCAGTTTGATGGGGGTACAAATAACTTTACAACACAAAACTGAGTGGCAATCGTTAAGAACAAAAAATATACATAAATACAGTTTTAATTACTTTAAATAAAAAAAACCTAAATTACAAACAGTGAAAGTAAAAGATAGTAAAATAATTTATTAATTGATCGATATGCTTGTACTATTCTAATTGTTGATACTGAAACTGATATCCATTTCTAAGTCACTTTATATAAATATCAGACTCTATAACGTTTTTATATAGAAAAATCTAACATTTGAAATAATATCCTTTTAGATATTTGTAGACTTTTCACTGTTAAACAGATGTTTAATTACATTCTCCAAGAGAAATGTCATAAAATAAATTAATTTGCTTTTTGTGCTGCAGAGTTGATCAAGAAATATGAGCTGGGGAAAGATGAGCTGCGGCCTCTTTACATGGACTTCCAGGCCACCACTCCCATGGTAACTGTTATATGTTGGGTCAATAATCTAAGAGGTCATGGTAGAGTGTTTTATGTGTCGTTCAGACCATCTAGGTACAGAATTTATTGATTGTGTTGCTGCTTTGCTGCGGCAACAACGTTATTGTTTGTTTTTTATGATATTTGTTTAGGACCCTCGAGTGCTGGACGCCATGTTGCCATACCAGGTGAATTATTATGGTAACCCACACTCCAGGACACACGCCTACGGCTGGGAGAGTGAGAGGGCCATGGAGAACGCCAGGAAGGTACAGAGACTTTGGTTTTGCAGCAAAGTGTTGCATTCAGTTTAAAAACATTGCAGCATTTGTGGGAAAATAGTTATGACAAATTTCCAGGTTTAGATTCATAAATACTGTGCACCTATTGTGCAAACCTACGTTTGAATTAAACTCAAGGCTGCGTTAGAGCGAGCAGCCAGTTGAAACATAATGAAAGCTCTCCCACTGCAGCATGTGGTGTGACTGTGAGCCTTTTGTTTCTCTGAGCAGCAGGTTGCTGATCTCATCGGAGCCGATCCCAGAGAAATCATCTTCACCAGCGGAGCCACAGAGTCCAACAACATGGCCATTAAGGTACCAATATATTACTCCTCTTCGTCGTCACTGCTTACAAACATCCTCCTGCTATCACMAAAAACTGTACTTACCTTACTTTTCAGTAAAAGTTGCTTAGGAATACAACAATAAGTCCTATGAAAATGAACTGAGTCCAAAGCTGCTGTTTGTTCCCTGCAGGGCGTGGCCAGGTTCTACAAGGCCAAGAAGGGTCATGTGATCACCACGCAGACTGAGCATAAATGTGTCCTGGACTCCTGTCGAATYCTAGAGTCTGAGGGGTTCAGTATTACTTACCTACCGGTGCAGAAGAACGGGCTGCTGGACCTGGAGGTACACAACAAAAACCCTGTAAGGACAGGCACCTCGCGGTCATCACCGTGTGAACTCTGTGTTTGTGTCTGCAGCTGCTGGAGGCCTCCATCCGTCCCGACACYTCCCTGGTGTCCGTGATGACCATCAATAATGAGATTGGAGTCAAGCAGCCCATCAAGGAAATTGGTAACAACGGCAACACACAATCTTTWAATTAATCAGGTTTTYTTATGGCACGGTATGAGGGCCAAAATTAAGATTACTKTGCAACCAGAGGTTGTTACATCCTAGTAGCAGGAGGCTATATCTATTCTTAAGCCAKCTACTGGTTTGATTAATGAGAGGCCAGCACTGGCAAATTAGAAGGAGACTATTTATTTGTGTTAACAGTGGAGAGGCTAGTGACTAGCATGGATAAGCTAGTGTTAACCTCTCCGAAGCTAACACCAACTTGTCCATGCTAGTCACTAGCCTCTCCGATGTTAACACCAGCTTATCCATGCTAGTCATTAGCCTCTCCGAAGCTAACACCAGCTTATCCATGCTAGTCACTAGCCTCTCCGATGCTAACGCCAGCTTATCCATGCTAGTCATTAGCCTCTCAGATGCTAACACCAGCTTATTCATGCTAGTCTCTAGTCTATCCATCATAACTCCAGATTATCCATGCTTGTCGCTAGCCTCTCCAATGCTAATGCAAATGAATAGTGTCGGCCTTTCAGTTACTGGGCCCGGCTGCTCAGTTGCACTTGCCTGTCATTAATCAGATCAAAAGCTGGCTTAGGAATAGATATAACCTCCTGCTACTAGGATATAACAACTGCTGGTTGCATAATAGTCTTAATTTTGGCCCTCATACCACGCCATAGTTTTTACTGTGGCTGCATGGAGCTCAAATGAAGTGTTTTGTGTCGTTGGCCGACTAAGCTTCACCCTTGGTGTTTTCAGGTCAGATTTGTCGATCCAAAGGAGTGTTTTTCCACACGGATGCTGCTCAGGCTGTGGGRAAGATTCCCATCAGTGTCTCTGACTGCAAGGTTGATCTGATGTCCATCAGTGGTCACAAGATCTACGGACCCAAAGGTTAGCATCATTAGCATTAGCAGTTAAGAAACTAACTCAACACTAACATCTCTTTTTAGTTTTTTTTTCTGAGTTTGCTAATTAGCAAGATGTATGCAGACTGTAATGCACGTTCATGTGTGCAGGCGTGGGTGCCTTGTAYGCGCGCCGCCGGCCGCGGGTCCGTTTGGAGCCCCTGCAGAACGGCGGCGGTCAGGAGAGGGGTCTCCGCTCCGGCACCGTTCCCACCCCGCTGGTTGTTGGGCTGGGAGCCGCCTGCAGCGTCGCCCAAAAGGAGATGGAGGTAAAATAAGCATTTAAAAACCAAAYGCACTGGTGTACCCGGACACTAAACATTAATCTGTGTGTGCAGTACGATTATCAGAGAGTGTCCATGCTCGCCAAGCGTCTGGTCCAGAAGATCATGTCAGAGGTTCCTGAAGTCATCATGAACGGAGATCCAGAGCAACGTTACCCCGGTAAAATCACGTAGTTGTACGGACATAAAATGATTTTCTTCAGTTTTTTGTTTTTGTTTTCATGAAGAATCCACCGTGTGTTTAAATTCACAGGCTGCATAAACCTGTCGTTTGCCTGCGTGGAGGGAGAGAGTCTGTTGATGGCTCTGAAGGATGTTGCTCTGTCATCTGGAAGGTCAGACACAAACCTTTGATCAGCTTTTATTAGATTTTGTCATTTTRTTTCCTGTTCAAGATGAGTGAACGTTTGTGTGTCTGTGAGCAGCGCTTGTACGTCGGCGTCTCTGGAGCCGTCGTACGTCCTCCGAGCGATCGGAGCAGATGAAGACCTGGCTCACTCCTCCATCAGGTRCAAACACTTGATAGAMACTATATTCCTGCTATAATAATATTATTAATTTAACATCACTTTGATTTTCAKGTTATCTAGTTTTTGATCTGTTTATAACAACCGATCCTCCAAACCTGCAGATCCTTAAAAGAGCTTGAAAGGCCTTGAATTCATCAATCCAAAAATAAGGCCTTTAATTAGCCTTAAAATGTCCTAAATCAATATTCAGAAGTCTTAAWAATGTTAACACATTGTAAATAGGATGACTGTAATTTGTCTCATATATTAAAATAATTGCTAACATTTATTTTTTTTTAAATATTCACATGCAGACATTSCCCTTTGACATCACTTCCTGTTACTTCACATGCAAATATCTCAACAACTGTCCATCTGAGCAATGTGACATTTATTTTCTAATATGTTAATAATGTTGTCCAAAAAAATGCATTCATGTTTCTTACATGGTTACATCTACAGCAAGCTGGGGTTGAGAACCCACTGTGGGTTCTAAAAGTCCAAATTTTGGGTCGTTAGATGATTTCCAGGATTTAAATTAAGTTTAAAACTGACTGCTAAGAATGTTTTTGATATATTTTACAAAAAAAAAAGCAGTTAGATGTGGATAAAAATAGTTGGTCTATTAGCAATATYTGAAAAATTCAACCAAAAATACTTTGATTCACGAGTWTCTGCCACAGTTTAATTTTTTTGTTGTTGTTGTTTGTGTTTATTGTGAAATTGGTCTTAAATTTAATGTCACTTGGCATTAAAAAGCCTTAAAAATTCTTAAATTTAACTTGCCTTAAACCCTGCAAACTCTGCTGTTCCTGATGAACTTTTAAACAAATTTATATTTCAAGCTGTGTTCAGCCACTCATAATTTCTAGTTGTTTTTAAATTTTTTTTTTATAAAAGTATAAATTATGAATGATGAACTATATGTCGTGTTTTTGTTGTAGGTTTGGTATTGGCAGGTTCACCACAGAAGAAGAAGTCGACTACACTGCAGAAAAATGTATCCAGCAAGTCCGCAGACTCCGAGAGATGAGGTCAGTTCAGCTGGCTTTTATTTTTATCTGTCGTATCAAGCTCAATTTCTTATAGTCAAACTCTGAAATACTTAAAAAAAAACTTTCAAGTTAAAAATATGGCACTATTTGTTCAGATCTCAGCTACATCATCTTATTTTCTTATTCTCATAAATTTCCTGGAACAGGAAGTTTACAATATCAGCGTCTAACTTTCCTTTTCTCCTTGTTTCGTCTTGAAGTCCTTTATGGGAGATGGTCCAGGAAGGCGTTGACCTGAAGAGCATCAAGTGGACGCAGCATTGAACTCCGCCCACTTCCTGTAAGCTTCCTAGCTGCAGAACAAAGGATTAGAGATTTTTTTTGGAACGATTTCACTTCTACTTCGACACAAACACGCACAAACTTCCTGTCCGACTTGAAGTCTGCTCGCAGCYGAAGCTCCTCCGGCTGCCGTCAGGAGATGCTGCTTCAGAGTCGACGAACAACTTGGCAGTTTCTGTTTTTCAGTGAGGCTTTTGCAAAGTTGGGCTCCCTGAGATGTGGCTCMACAGTTATGGAGAAAAGGAGGTTTTACAAAATATTTTGTGAGAGTAACCCACTCTGCTGACACAGTTTGATCCTGCATAAAACAACRGAGAATAAAACTTGTAAAATATTTGTTACATGTCAATTTTGAGCTAAATGTAAGGTGAGACAAAACCTTTGCACAGATCAAAACAATGTGAGTTAAAATAAAAATGTCTGGCTTATCTTGTGCCAGTTCTTGTGGTTTATTTTTTTCACATTTGTCACAATCAGTATGTACTCATCTCACAGTTTCACATGTAATAAATGTTGATTGGTTTTGCAGCATAGCTTCATGATGCGTTTTGAGTTATGTAGCTGAATCCAGTACCCTACCWCTGCATCTGTTGGTTCTCCTTTTACTTTATGTAGGAACAGTAGTGCTGAAACCTTAAAGGAAGTGGATCAAATCTGTGACAGGCATACAGGTATTTATATGCAAATGTGGTACACTCTTTGTTTTAACAAGTTTTTCTTTACGTATAAATATACATAATAAAGTGACCACCAAAGATGCTTTTTACAACAGTTGCAATGATTCTGCAGTGTTTGAAAGGGTTCAGAATCAGACGATATACATACAGATTGTTTTAAAATTGTCTTTTGTTTCTGGATGTTTGGGTCTCAAGCTGTTGTAATTTATTTCAGCTTCCACTGTCATCTGTTCATGCGATCAACAATGTTTGCAATTTTGTGTGTATTTTCTAAAGCTTTGTCTGTTTTTATCAAAACTTTGTGTACCTTAAGCCAATAAAACAGCTGTCCAGCATTCAAATTACCTAAAGTTTTATTTTCCACATGCAATAAATTGTATTATGGTTCTGATCATTGACAATAGTTGTTTTACCTTGTGCAGTTTGACTGAGAATCTACACCAGTATAAGCACAAACAATATGTTCCAAATCTAACCATAATAAATTCTCAAAGTAACAAAAAATGCATACTGTCCCACTGTAGTTGATAAGTTATCCTTGTTGAAATCGCTCAGAAAGTAGAAAACCTAGTTTTCAACCAGGGAATGTTCTGGTTGAGTTTATTTTATTATTATTATTATATTTTTTTAGTTTATTTGTAGTTTTAGCCACCAGGGAGCGCAATTACACCGAGAAGACGTGGTCTGCCATTTCTCGCGAGATCAGTTCTGTTATCGCGGTGTTTGAGCCGACATTTCGTGCAGAAGAAGCTTGCAGGAGAAAAGGGAGAAGAAAAGATTTCTGTTTATGAGTTAAATCTCTATATGTTAATTGACAGATTTCTCGGTAAGAATACACAAGCGATAGGTCGTCTAATGACGTTGCTCTAGTGACTTTGAAAGCACGTATTCCGCTGGCTGTTCTGCTCCAAAAACACGCAAATTAGCATGTTTAACTAGCGGCTAGGTTGCTAACGGAACGCTAGCATACTAGGAAGCCAAGCCGTAAACACTGCTGGAAGCTGTTTAACTACTTAGAATATTTACTATATGTTTGTTGATGATKTATGTCGAAGTTTTGTGAAGTGTGTAATGCATTTGTAAAATATTTAGATTGGTTTGGGTAATTAATGTTATAATTCGTAGCTACTAGTTTCCACCATTATGTACATTTGATTTTTTTTTTCAGCTCATGTTTTTTCGACTTTCTGTTTGGGTAAACAAAGAAAATTGATACCTGGCATTTGCTCACTGCCCAGGAAACCATAAATATAAGCCAATCCTGGTCAGGGCATCTTGAAACATGAGCTGTTAATGGGTGGGGGGRAAAAATCAATAAATATTTATTAAGATTGTCATGACATATATAGAGCATTGTTAATATGACATTTTATGTTGAAAGGTGTTTGTTTTCATTTATTTTTGCTCAGCTGGACTATGTTAAGTAGTCCTGTTAAACTCARTGCAACAGTTGAATGACTTTTTATTGTCTGAAAATTATCATAAAATGTGCAAGATTACAGTTTTGTTGGCAAAATAGATGATGAACATGAGAAAAATAATCATTTTATAARTTTGTTGTGTTTGAATCTGTTTGCTCAGGGTTGGTTTGCAGAATCAGAAGCAGTAGAGGTCTGTGCAAGAATGATTTCATAATTTATGAGGCTGCATGATGAGATAAAAAGGGATTGTTATTGATTTGTTTTGGATTAGGTCGTTTGTGATTGCAGGTAAATTGAAAACAATGCTGGTTTTAAAAAGGAATATCTTGTTGTATCTGAGTTTTTATTTTTATTTATTTTAGGTTTTCTGCTGCTTTTAATACATTATGCTCTGAAAATGCACTCTTTGCTGTTGGGGATCAACAAAAGCACACATGGAGTTGTGTGTTTAAGCTTAAAAMGCAACTTGTAAGAACAACTATTAGATTCTTTATCCTGAATGTGCAGGGTTTATTTTTTTATGTTTTCTCCCCTTTTGCAGAACAATTCAGTCTCTTGTTGCCTCAGGTTTCTTTCCCTGCTCTTTGAGTAGAACATGAGACTTTGGTTGATTTTTTTTCTCCTTCTGTGGGATTCATTTTGTTTTTGACGTTAGCTGTTTTCTGTCAGTCAAGCGTTGCCTATTTTTGCTGTTTGTTTTGACTAGTTTTTGGTAGCTTGTTACCAACAGTTTGTAACTGTAGTTAATGAGGTTCTTTAAAAGAAATTAATGGAAATGYGTTATAATGAAGCATCGAAGAACTTGTCCCTGATCTTATGAATTTATATGTGCTATCGTTGAATAATATCACCAGTAATGACAATGATAATGTTGATGTACAGCGTCATGTTAAATGTGTGTTGCCATGCAGGCATTTGTTGGTGTCAGTGGTTTTCATTGGTCCAAGAAAGGGGGAGTGTCATTTGGCGATATGTCCATCCTGAATGGGGAAACATTGACATGGATTGTACAATCTGCAAGTGTTGCTTCATTTGCTGTTGTTCAGCTGGACAGCGGGTTTTTTACCAGTGTTCGCTAAATTGTTGCTCTGTTTTCTTGCTGCTTAATTTCTTTGCTGTTATTTGTGCTGTGCTGGTAAACTGTTAAATTTGCTGTGGTTTACATGAAACTAATGTTTCTCTGAATTCCTGTGTTTACAGTTTGGTGATGTTCTTTTACTTGCTGCTTTTTATGCTACTGCTTTATGYTGACTGTTAAGATGATATGTTGTTGGTATGCTTGATGGTTGACGTGTGTTTTTTGTTGTTGCAGGCAGGTGCAAACGTGTGACCTGCTGACTAGTCATTTGTGATCAGCCGGGTCATTGAGCTTGTGATTGTTTGATAAGTCCTCCTGGGGTATCGTTTGGTGTTCTGAAGTGGTTTCTGCAGTAGCTGCTTCTTTTATTAATTGTTTCTAACTTAAAATGTTTGTATTTCTGGGTTGCTTGTTTGAAATAAAAATTTGAGTCTAGTTTTGTTTCATGTCACTATGTGGTTTCTTTTAGTCAGAAATGTTTCACTCAGGTAGAGGCTGTCTGRCTACAATATCTGCTCTCAAGTTGCCTTTTATTTGATTTGTGTTAGTGTTAATGACACTTCTCTTGGTGTAAAATAAGAATAACATAGAATAACTCTAGTATAGTAAACTATAGTGTTTAAAGTCTAGTAGTTGTTGACTCAAGGTCATTACAGCTGTTGAAAACACTGGCTACTGGTAGCTAATGTAACATTTAATGTGATTTTTTTGTGTGAACAATGTTTGTTTCTCTGACCTTTTCACCAGGTTTCATTGTCCTGCAGAAATCCTGTTACTCAGTGAAACTATAGGCACTGCTTAGTTGCATTGGTGAGTTTCAAACTGCATGAGATTTATAGTTTTTACTTTTGTATGAAAATAATTCAGAATGCCTTCATTTTAACTGTAAAAAACAGTGAAATTAGCAAGAAATTGAGCAAACACTGAATTGGATCATATTAGTTGAATATTCTGTTATAATTCAAATTACACAGACTGAAGTTGATGTAAAATTATGTTTCAGTCTGGTATTAGGCTGAGCTTTTAACCATTAACACCTATAAAAATAGTACTTTAAAGAAAACTCTTTAGTTGGAAAAACTTTATTTTATTTGAGAAGATTTGAAGGGTATGAGATTATATTGGTTCATGTTTGTTTCAGAAAAAGGCTAATATTGGTAACTAGTTAAATGTTTGGCCAGACGCAAATGTTTCATAACAGATTCCATAGACGGCAAATGTTTTGGCATATTGAACACATTTAAGCTTTTGAATGTGAATGTGCAAATTATTGATGAGAGACTGTAGACTAGCGTTAACTTTGTCATTCTGAAGTGTTGTGTTCTTCTGGGAACACTTATTGTCACTTTGTGTTCATGCTAATGTTTGCCTATGTTCTGATTAGGGATGCACCGATATGAAATTTCAGCCGATATCCGATAAAATTATTGCTGTTATGGCCGATAACCGATATTCACTGATATTACACAAACACACAAATTATATAATATATACACGCACAAATACATTCGGGTCTTTTTTGATACCGTAAATAAACAGCCAGACTTGTGACAAGGCTCTACATCAGTTATTTCTGGCTATGCAGCATCAGAATCACTATCATGATCAAACTGATGCCGCTCAACCAACCATCTCCCCTCCCAAAACAGAAACACAAAGATAAAAATTGTAAAATCAATATTGGACGTTAATAGTTTTGCATATCGGACCGATACCGATATTCTAAAAATGACCAATATCGATCCATACTGATATTATTGCCGATGTATCGTGCATCCCTAGTTCTGAATTAACAAAAAATCAGATGTGATGTATGATCAAATTTCTGAAAGGAAGAATGATTTGTTTAAAWCTTCAAGAGTCAATCTTCCTTAGACTTTTTAGGGTCAATTTTTGCAAACAAAAATTGCAAAATGCTTACCTTTTCCCCCATGGTCCCTTCAAAACTCTTCTGTTTTCAAAATTCAGAACTTCAAATGTGTGTGCAGCATATACAAGTAGTTTCTAATTCATGCTGAAGAAACCATTTTTTGCTTTATCTTTGTATGCTTACAAACTGTGAAGTTTGAGAACTGATGGTAGTGTTGCTTTCTCTCTAGGTTGTAGGGCTGTTTTTTAGCAGTCAGTATGGCGGTAGTCATCAGGCTGCAGGGTCTGCCCATAGTGGCCGGCACCATGGACATCAGACACTTCTTCTCTGGCCTCACCATTCCTGACGGTGGAGTGCACATCGTCGGAGGTGAACACGGTGAAGCCTTCATCGTGTTTGCCACCGATGAGGATGCTCGACAAGGGATGATGCGAACGGGTGGGTCCATCAAAGGCTCCAAAGTGTCACTGTTGCTTAGTAGCAAGACAGAAATGCAGAACATGATTGAACTTAGCCGCCGTAGATTTGAAGCTGGAGCAGGAGGTGTAGAAATAGCTGCACCCCCAGCAGGAAATGCTAACAGACAAGGAAGTGCAGCCTCCATGCCACCTGTCCAGTCAGGGGCAGGAGGACGCTCTGGTAGCCACGGAAATCAGGGTTTCAGCAACACCCCGGCCTCAGTGACCGCAGTGAGCTCATCTCAAGAACAAACGAGCAGCAAAGCAGCAGCAACCTTAGCCAACGTGGTGCCAAGTTTCCCCAATAGCTACAGCTCAACCCCTACAATCACCACAGCTCTGACGTCACTCGGTGCAGGTCCCCCACCCATTGCTGCTCTTCCTAACATGTCTTCCATGCCCCCTATGCCAACTATGCCCACAATCCCAGTTCCTCCTCCTGTGTCTACCCTCCCTCCTGTCCCTTCTGTTACTCCACTACCCCAAGGACCTCCAATACCYCCCATGTCTCATCTTCCTCATATGTCCGCTTTACCTCCCTTTAATCCCTCCCTTCCTCCACCAACAGGACTGGGCTCAGGCCTCCCTCTTGGGGCCCCCAACCCTATGCTGTTTAACCCTCTTACTCCTCTGGCCTCACTTGGACTTCAGGCTCATATGAAAGTTGCCGCTGCAGGAGCCCCTGGGGTTGGAGGACCCAATCCTGATGATTTGTATGTTCTCCTGCAAAATCTTCATTATTCCTGCTCAGAGATGGAAGTCAGGGATTTTTTTCGGGGTCTTGGTGTGGAAGGGGTTCGCCTACAGAGGGATGGGCAGGGTCGTCCAAATGGCAGGGCTGTGGTAAAGTTTTTTTCACCCCATGACAGCTTTGAGGCTTTGAAGCTGGGGGGTGGCATGATGGGCCAAAGATTCATTGAGATCTGCCCAGGCTCTGAACAGCAGTGGGTCAGCTGTAGCGACAGCGGGATAGGCCTGGCTCTTCACATGGGTAACAAATCAAGTAACAGCAATGAGTCACAGGATCAGCAGCACCGTCGTGGAAATCCTGGGACAGGAGGCAGAGATCGAGACAGATCGCCTCACAGGCAGGAGTTCTGTGTCTACCTGAAGGGTCTCCCATATGAAGCCAACAAAAGACAGATTAGGGAGTTCTTTAAGAATTTGGTCATTGTGGAAGATAGCATCTACATTGCCTATGGTCCAAATGGACGTGCTACAGGAGAGGGATTCCTTGAGTTTAAATCTGAAGAGGAATACAAGATTGCTCTTGCCTCCCACATGCAGTATATGGGCTCTCGTTTTATCCAGGTTCATCCAATCAGCCGAAAGGGAATGCTTGAAAAGATCGATGCTTTCCGCAAGCGTGAAACAGTACAAGGTGACGGCAAGGGCCAAGATGGCTTGAAAGCTCCTAGAAATTGTGCCCATATTTCCAATATCCCTTACAGCATCTCCAAGAAGGATGTCCGTGCCTTCCTTGAAGGTGTAGGAATCTATGAAGACACCTTGAAAGTCCTGACAGATAGCCATGGAAATGGTTTAGGCCAAGCCATCTTCCAGTTGCGAAGTGAAGAAGATGCCCGCAAAGCTGAACGGCTGCATCGACAAAAGCTCAATGGTCGGGATGCCTTTGTCCATTTGGTAACTTTTGATCAGATGAAGGAAATTGAGAGAAATCCGCCGCCTCAAAACAAAAGGGCCCAACGCATCCATAGCCAGCATAATCAGAACCAAAACCACAGTCAACACCAGCCAGCACAGCCCAGTCCCCAGCCGCCCCAGATAAACCCTTTTTCTGGGATTAGCGGTGACGAGTTTAATTTCCTTAGAAACACCATGGGGAACCTCAGCAGTGGCCCATTTGTAGCTCCATTCTCGGCCCCAGGAAATGGACTGGSAGGCCCGCCTCCTCTCCCTCCAATGCCTGCCAGGCTAGGGGAAGTGAATTTAGGTGTCACCCCTCCACTAGTTTCAGGAATTCCCGGAGCGCCTATCTTAGAGCCACCCGGCTTTCGCCCTGGAGCTGCCGGAGGGCCTCCATTTGGCCAAGATGGTCTTAGAGGCATTGCACCTTTTGACAACGCCAACAGAAAAGGAAGTACAGGAGGACAAAACCGAGGAGGAGGGCCCAACAACAACAACAACCATGGCCGCCCAACTGGAGGAGAGCAGGGGTTCGCTCCAGGCGCCGAAGGCCTTTGCAGCCAGCCAGTTCCAGGAGGATCCAGCAATCCCAACAATCAACACTGCCCTGCCGGCCCAACAGTTGTAAAAATTCAGAACATGCCGTTCACCGTTACCGTGGATGAGATCATGGACTTTTTCTATGGCTATCAGGTGTTGCCAGGCTCGGTCTGCTTGCAGTTCAGTGAGAAAGGTTTGCCAACTGGTGAGGCCATGGTGGCTTTCCAGAACCACGAGGAGGCCACCGCTGCAGTCATGGAACTGAATGACAGACCTATTGGTTCACGAAAGGTCAAGATAAGCCTAGGATAGGGCTCCACCTAAAGCAAAGTGACTGTATAAGACTTTTACATTTGTCCAGGTGAAATAACACCAACTACCCAGTGTTCAAATCAGTGACTGTCAGTCATTACCAAAACCAACCCCCTTCTTTTATGTAAATATCAACAGGTAAGCCCTGTCTTTTGCAGTGTGTCTGTTAAAGACTGTAATCTACACCATTTTTTACCTGCAGCTGCTGACTTTGGTTGCACAAACCAATGGACGTTGTGGTTATGATGGTTATAATGACAATATTGGCAGGTTTTTGGTCCTTCCCTTTCCAGTTTTCATGACGGTGCAGCTTTTATGTTTATCTCAACAGTCACCTGTTTTCTTGCCATGGTAAGCTGATGGTTGTAAAGAGGCTCACAAACATTGCTGCTGTACATGCTTTAAAATACTCTGCTGCTGTGGTTTGAAATTCACATGCTCTGCTGCTGYAGTAAAGCGAACAACCACAGTATGTTGCCATAACAAAATGTTCATGTTGTGAYGCTATGGTACAAAAAAAACATGCATTGTTGCTACATTAAAATCTTTACATCTTTTGTTGCTTTGGTAAACTGTGCAACTGTAGAGAAGTCATCACGATTTATGTTGCTATGATGAAATTATGATGAAAAGCTGTTTCAGCACGATGGTGTTTGTGATTTCAAGTTCTGGTGAAATAACATCTCCCACTCCTGTGGTGAACATCATACTTAAAGCTGTTGCATTGTTGCTGTACAAAGGATGTTGGATGAAAAGATGGCGGAGTCATGTTTTCATTTCGTTTTGGGCCTGCTGTTTTCTTCTGTCTTATTTTTATGATGTTTCCTAATTATGCTACCCTTGAAATCCCTCCCTTTCCCCCATTCCCCCCACAGCACATGCTTCGTAGGCGTTTGGACTGTAGTGTGCTCTGATGAAGTCTTTAGTATTTTTCTTTTAGTTGGTAGCACTGTTTGTACATTTGATCATGATTTTGATGTTTCTGCATTAAATCTTGCATTTGTTTCTATTGTCAGTGTGAACAAATTTGTGTGATGGTATAACCTTACATGCTGTGGGGTCTCCTTTGCTTTGGCTAATAAAAGGACATTCCTCACCTTTAATGATGTCAAACCTGTTTGCTCTTCACTTTCTCATAATGGAGGCTTGTCTTAGGTCAATGTCAGTTGAAATATTAGGATTTTGCCTCTTAAAATCTTTGCTTTTTATGTTTAATTTTTTTCCATACACTTTTATCTTAAAGTACCATCTCCTTTAGTAGTCTGCTTTACTTACAGATTGATCAAGGATATCTTCTAGGCTCTTTTGCTTACTTGCAGCCCCATTTCAAAAAAGTATATATATAAAATGTAAAACAAAATACTGACCTGTTACCATAATTAGTAGCAGAAGGATTTTTTTTATTTCTATCACTTAACTTTAGCTTCATTTTGTTGCCAATGCCCCAACATTTTTCATATGTTTCTGCCATGAAAATCAAAATAATTTTGATTATTATTCATTGGTTTCAATGCTGGTTACATTTAATATGTTCCATTGAGAATAAAATGAGTTCAAACTCAAAATGAGTTTATTTTTTTGGCTGTTGGGGTTGTTTCATGTCACAATAAAGAGCTGATAAGTTCCATAAAATATGAGAATAATTGCTAACAAACCAAGAGGTGGCAAATGTAGGAGTAAGTCCTATATCTTTTTCCAAAATTCTAACAATGCATATTCTCATATTTTGAGAGTTGAAGTAACGAAAGCATCTGCGTTACGTAAGGATTATCTTAAAAGTTTAAAAAGTTTTGAATTTTAGGGATTCGTCTGGATTCAGATTAAGTTTTTAACAGTAATATATTTTTACTTTAGTTGTCTCATGCTTTTAGTGTCTTTGCACCATCCTATGCTGCTGTTTGTTTTTTCTTGCCTGACACAAGCATTTTTTCATCAAATCTGAAGTATTAGCTTGGTCTAATGAGGAAATCTCAGCGTTCAGGAAATGGTAAAMCTCCAAACAGGTACAAGAACTGAATGTGTGTGTATATGTTTGTGTGTGTGCATAAACTTGATAAACTGGCCTAAATAAAATGAAGTGAAACCCTGGGTACTGGTAAAGAYGGTGTGGATGRTGTGCAGTAGGTGTGTGGAGAGAAKCAGAAATGTGTTGGAACAATAAATCCAGGCGATGAACTTTCTGCAGAGGATGTGAGTCTGAGTGTGTAGTCTGTGTGTGGAGCTGTCGACAGTAAAGCTGTTGGGATTTCTCCTGTGTCGATTAATAGAAGGCAGATCTTGCAGGTGAGTGATGGACGCAAAAAAATTCTGTTTATAACAAATGGGAATGAATTAATGAACTGCAGTCTGCTGATTAACAACGTTGAGTTTCTGCAGATCAACCAATAAATGATACATTTGACTGGGTAGATTGTAGAAGGTGGTTTATAKGCCACTGTCTGGTAATTTTAAGTTTTAAAAAGATTTGGAGATGAGCAAAGCATTAAGATATCTGATGATCTGTGGAGATACTGGATGTTTAGATGGTTGCAAGTCAGTGATGGAGGAAGTAGAGACTTCAGTAACACTAAAACTGCTCATCTGTTTAAAATCAATGTTTAGGAGATTAGTGTATTTAAAAGGACTAATTACTAATTTAGTGCAATAACTTAAAAGCTCTAATAAATTTAAGGATGCATACAGCTAAATATGTTTTGCATTATACATTCAAATTTACATTTTAAACTATTGTGGAAAAAATGTCTTGAACTTTTTAAAAAATCACCATATTGAACGTTTATTAAAGGGCCAAACTTATTATTCTTAGTATTATCAGAAAAATAATTTAATTTACATATTTATATTTATATGAACTTTTAAAATGGTAGTTCATTAACAGTTTAGTTCAGTAAGCACGTCTCTTAGCCAGGCTTTGAAATACATACAGTCAGTAGCAAAGTGTCTCAGTATATTTCTGGGAATAAAACTTTATTTGTACGCAAAACTGTTAGATACATCTAGTCAGCAGAAAATACACTTTCACTGTCATGAGTGAAACTTTAAAAATAGAAAAAATATAAATGCTTAAAGTAGAAGAGGGCTAATTAAATGTAGATTCATTGTTTATGTTATAAATGTAAATCTTGTTTTGATTTTTTTAAATAAAATGTATAAAAGCAGTTTAGCAGAATAAGATAATTTATGGGTTTTAGTCTATAAATGGTCATCTAAAGTGTGTATGTGATCAGGGATTATGGGACTATGATCATGTTCCGTAAATGGATCATTTTTCAGTTACATTAGTGTAACTTTTGTACTGTTGAGCTGCTCACTTAGTGGTGAGGCAGATTGTGACTGGGTAGAAAATATAGTGACATGAAGGTCAGCAAAAAGAAGTGATTGTTGATTTAAATAGGAAAAACTTCTCAACTAGGTTTTCATTAATTGAAGACCCACCTGCTGAGAATGTGGACGTTACATCATGTACCTGACAAACACACTTAACTTCAACCTGAACACGTCAGCAAGAATCCTACAGAGACTGTTTTATATACAAATTCAGGCTTTTACATAGATAAAACAATGATAATTATTTTTTTGCAGCACATATATTGAGTTTTTTATATGTATGTCCCCCCCGAGGGACAATAAAGCTCTAAATTGAAAGTGGTCTGTATGATTACCGGGTATATCATTTTGCAAGCTGGATAAGACTGCAGGCCTAACCTGCAGGACACAATGTAAATGATGTTAACTAGATGTTAACGTGCAAGTCACAGCTGCTTGTAAGTTTCAGTGTTTATGTGATAGGAAGTGGCATGTAGGTTGTGGTTTTTGAATGGTAGACCCAAATGGTGGAAGTTAGATGGCATTTTGCATAATTTCTAAAAAAAATATTTTAGATTATAAGGCTTTGTATGGTATATAAACATGTTTTTATAAAACGTTCCTAATTTTTGACAGACCAGTTTATCATAAACAGTTGCTAGGTGCTAAAATATACTCTATCAGGATGCTTGTATTTGAAGTATTTTATTGTTATCCAGTTTGATTATGTGTTTATACTTCATTTTAATGCTGGAATATAATAAAAGTAGCCTATGTTAAAAGTATAATACAATATGAATCAAAATAATTGGATTTCATTTAGATTTTTTTTTCAATTGAAGACAGATTGTGCATGTTTGTACTTTTTATTGCATTGAACACCTAAAGTGTGCATACTTTAAACATGCAAGTATGATGTTTATCAATGAAAACATTGTTTTTTCCTTTGTTCTTTGGTGTTCTAATTTTTTGTGTGATTTGCATAATTGCTTCTGTTAATCTGTGACTGCAGTTGGCACTTCTGTATCTGTGAAATAGATAAAAATGCTTGTTGAAGCCATACTGAATTCAGATATTGCKTTCGTGATCACCACACTGATGAAAGGTTAAAAGCTCCACTGACCTTTTGTGTTTTTCGGCTCTTTCTTATGTATTTGCAGTTTAACTGAGAATTCTGTTTTCCTTTTGTCAATGGTTTACCGTGGGCTAGTGTGTATATATATTTATACTGCAATTTTCCAGACTAAATGCTGCAACAGCTGCAGTCAGAAACGTGTTAATTTATGTCACAACTTTTATTGTGAAAGAATGTGGGCTTTCCCGGATACCGTGACTGACAGCCTAATGGTCCAATAAGATCGTCCGTTTTTGGAACTGACTGACCAATCAGAGAGCTGTTAGTTCACCCGCTGCATAGCTTACTACTCTTGTTAGCTGCACGCTGCTGAACCCTGCGAACTGAGGTAAAAAAAAAAAAAAAAGAAGTTTTTATTTACTTACACAGTGAAAAAGACAGTTCTAGCTGGTTAATATTTTAAATAAAATATTGGGTAGCTCGGTTAGGTTATGTTTAATAATTAATTTTCTCCGTTTAGTAAAGTTGTATCGTCTAGTTTTTTGACGTGGGAGTGGTTGATATCATAGACATCCATAGACTTCCTATTGGAAGCTAAACGGCATAAGCGTGTCGCCGCCATATTGGAGGTGGCAGAGAGGAGAAAGCAAAATGCCCCGTAGAGGAGCGGCTTGGAAATATTCAGATGTCCAAACAAAATAAGACGGAATTACCTTTCACATGTAGGGCTTAACATTTACTATAGATTGTATTTAAGCCATAGTCTGCACGATTTTCATCATTTTAACATTGTTTTGAGAGAGTAAACTTGTTAACAAAAACACTGGTTTATGGTTTCCTGCTCACAATTCATTACTGTGGCATTTACTTTAGACTGCTCACAGTACTAGATGAGATATATA